TCCATAACTTTTACAACACAAAAAATATTTTAAACCTTATTCATCTCAACAGTCTTTTCAAGCTTACCCAACATGAAAAATCTGTTCCCTTGTCCCACTGCAGTCTTGAATCACAATTTTGCATGGGAAGCTAATTATCACACGTGATTGTTAGCTTTTCACATATTTTATTTTATATTTGACTATTAAATTAAATAATTAAACAAAAATAATGAACAATATAAAAATAGGTGTGTAAGAAAAAAAAATCAATATTTTTTTTTCTTCTGCTTGGAACAATATTTTCTTCCCGACAAATATAAATGAGTTCGATTGATTCAGTGTTACGGTGTTTACTCTCTACTCTTTGGAATTTTTAAACCTTTTGTGGAAAGAGATGGTTGGAGTCTTGCTCTCCCAAACCCCCTAGATGAAGAAAATTGTGAAAACCTAATCATGAAAAACTAAAAATTAGATTGCTTGCCAATATACTGTTCGGCTTTTAGGGTGCCGAATTTTATAATATGCAGTTATGAATTAAAATTGGGCACTCTCCGGTCTAGTGCTATTTTTTTTACTTGTAAGTGAGAAGTTTAGGTTTAAATATTGGAATGACGAGTTCACAACCATTATATTTATCTATCATTTTAATGTAAATGTATCGTTGTACAAAAATATTATCTAAACATTATATTTTCAAAGTTCAAATCTTCTTGTAAGAAAATGCTATTTGAAAAAGTATGAAACCTTGTGTAATGAGTCAATGTGTCGATACAGTGTGAGTGAAGTGGATCGGTAGGTTAATATTAATTGTTTCGTAGTTGCAGAATGTATGGTGATTTGAGGTGATGAGAAGATCGATGAAGAATGTATGGAGAGTCCATTGATACTTTGTCACCTCACAGTTTAATGTCAATTTATGTATCAACATTATAAAAAATTGTGTCAAAACATGAGGTGGCAGCGAGCCCATAACCCCGCTTTTACGAGAGTCTCCTTAGCATATCTCGCATTTTTACTTCCCACACACTATTGTTAATATTTTTTCCTTGATTTTCTTCAGTTCATTTGATCCGACGATTGAAAATTAAAAATAATGTGTAAAAAGTACAAATAGGTATGTGGATATCCTACAGAGGCATTGGATATTTGAATACCTACGGCACCAAAGCCAATGCTTCAAATCCTAGCGGAATTTGTGCTAGAGTTTTGTCTCACTCCTATTGTGTTCGGCCTTGGCCCTTGTAGCTCAACTCGATCATGCTATAGCGTGTGCTCCTAATCACTATCACTAAATTAAAGGGAATGGGCTGCCTTTTCAATCAATCTTTGGGCGTTCAGTGTTGCTATTGGTGCTAGTTGTAAGGAGTCTTGGTCTCGAGCCGAGCTGGGTTGTGATTTAATTCTCGTAACGGGAGTGAGGGCGTCGCAAGACCAGACAAGTGTGCCACCATTGCCTTTGGGGATTGGGGCATCTTATTAAAGTCTATGGCACCAAGCTAGGCATTAGTGAAGCTTTTTTCTACGAATTGGTTTAGCGCGAATAGATAAGATGCTTGCTTCAAGTGGACCACTCCTCGCTATTAGCCCTTCTCAGCTAAGAATGATTGATTCATGCAACAAAATACTTGGAATCCTCGCAGATATAGCGTGTGTGTGCCAAGAGTTTCTTTGTCTTCGAAAAGGCAGAATGCTGTTATAGAATCTACTGTTTCGGAATATGCTCATAGAATACGATTGATTATAGTTTGCCCATTTCATTTAAGACGTTAAATTTTTATCCTTTTCTTCTCTGCAATTATTGATAAGAAATAAAAAAATAAGGTTTAATTCAAAGGGTCCGGACAAGGCTAGAGCCAAGCAGAGGGATGAAGTAGGGGACGATTGGTGAAAGTAGGCACGAGTGAAAAGGCAGGTAAGGAAGTGCAATGTAAAAGTCGAGTCTAGTATTTTTGTTTTTTTTTCGTAGGCAAGTGAGAAGCAAGAGTGCATGCTTACCCCGAAAGCGAGCCGGGTTTGAAGGACCAATGAAGCGATAAGAAGACTAGCTTTCCGTTTTGCTAGTCCATTCTTTATGCTGAGAAAAGTTTGTTCACGAATCGGATGTTGTAGATGTGCCATTGAGAATACCAAATCCTCTCTTTGACACTTGACACTAGTAGTACTTTCTTTGTTGTCTTTCAAATTAAGCTTACAATTGAGGTCAATGAGAAGCTTGTAAGTTCCACCTTAAGCTATAGGGATGAGGTGGTTGTACCGCTTATGTGACCCCTACTCTAATCAAAAGACTAAAGGCCCCATAGGTCACCAAACTACTACGAGAGTTTCGCCTTTTGAAGCGCCAGTCGCATAAGGCGATCTGGCCATACCGAGTCATAAAAGCTTTGATGACTCAAGGTTCATATTAAGGAAAAGAGAGTGAGGGGAAGAAGGGGCAGCCCTCGACCCGATCGTCCAATTCGCTCCAACAAATAGGCATGGCTTTGTAGTCAAAGCAACTTCGTCACTCTCGTGTACCCATCAGACGGCAACCCTTTCGTGGGGTCCTTAGGGACCGATTCACTATGCGTAGATTGATTGAACGCATATGCTCGAATGGTTACCATGAGTATTTCTTCTTTTTTTTTTGGAAAAAAAAAATAATGCCTGCAGTAGAATGACTAATCTGTTATTTCTTTCACTGTTCCAAACATACCAATATTAGTACTTATGGTACGTAAATGTAACTCGTTGTTCAAACAACTAGTCAGAGTTCCTAGAGCTCATTGTAAGGCTTGCTGAAAAACCCGTTGTCTAACTTGATTAATCGCCTTTTGTTGTTCAAAATGAATGGTTTCGTTTTTGTAATTTTCTAATTGTTCCAAAGTCTTATAAGTGGAATTAATCATATTCAATTTTTCTTGTTCTATTTTAGAATATCCAATAATTCGAAACTGATCCACTTTCATTTCTACTTTCCGTAAGCGGGCCCAGGCTTTTTCCAGCTAGTCTATGGCCTCCTCGCGCAGCTCTTCTGAATTTCGAATAGTCTTCAAGATCCTTTGTTTTCGATTATCTAATAAATCACTTAATGAAAGTAGATTATCTTTCCATTCATTTCAAAACTTCCACGACCCCTTCCGGAACCAAACATGAACCTTTCGCTTCATTTGGCTCTCATGCTCAATTTATTGAATTCCTTTTGAGAATTCACATATTCCTTTTTTTAATGTAAAATGTAATGAGCCTATCCTCTCTTCTATATTCATAGGCCAGGAGGGTCTCTTAACACCTTTTTTTTTCTTTCTCATTGGAGTTATTTTACGAAGACTAGCCATGGTAAGGAAGAAGGGATGAACAAGCACACTTGGAGAGTGCAGTACAACAGAGAGTTGGATGCTGCACATCTTTCCATTTCCACATTAGATTGATTCAATGGAGAAAGCTATTCCCTTCGGAGCGCATTTCCAGCTGTGAAGATATACGACTCACATATATTATAGTATTTCATAAAGGAATGTGATGATTCATCTCTACAAGTAATTTTGTGTAGGCTTTTTCTCGGAAGTGTCCTGGTGGAAGACTTGAAGGTGTTCACTGTCAACATGGATCGTCTTCATCTTTCGGCCCTCAGTGTGCCGACTTTAACAACTGCAATGATCGATTTCTCTTAACTTGCAAAAGTGTCAAAGATCAGTCGCACCTCTGCAACCTAATTAAACAGATTAATTAGCAGGAGACTTGGTCTTGTAAATTAAATTAATTGATGGCGTCGTTTATACTCTATACATTTAATAATGTTTTTTTGTACTTGTACTAAAAAAAAAAAATAATGATGTTTTTTGTATTAAGAAGTTTTCTAGTACTCGTTTATTTATTTATTTATTTTTTTTTGAAAGAAGTACTCGTTTCTTAGGAACAAGGATTGTCTGCACTTTAATTTTCCATGCTCTTCCATGTTCTGCTGTTTGTGTGATCACGGTTAAAGTACGTCAACATTTTATATTACCATTCATTTTTGTCTTATTATCTTTATAAAAAAATATATAAAATGTTAACGTGGTTTAACCGTGACCACACAAAACAGGAGGGCATGAAAAATTAGAGAGCAGACAATCCTTGTTCGTTTCTTAGAGGGTAAGTCAAGAAAGTTAAGTTTGACCGTAAAATCAATGGATAATAGAGTAGTCCAACTCAGTACAAAGCCATCCGAAGGTTTGATTACAGTATCAACAAGGTTCTATAAAAGTGTTTTTAGTTATTTTAAAAATACTTCCAAACGAACACTTATTTGACATTGGCAAAAAAAAGTGATAAACTATTACCAACACAATGTCAACTAAAAGTTACCTTGACTGAAGCTTTTTATTTGTGAATAAAGGTAGCATTTTTACCATATCTCGCCTTGAGAGGCATCTAGATTTTGCTGCTACCACCTCCAAATCACGCCACGAGTGAAATATTCCCCTACCATTAATTCTTAATTTTAATCAAATTGAAACAATGATCAACTCATCAAAACAGGTAGTTGTAGTCATTTTTATAAACTCTGTCAAAATTAGTTATATTGGAATGATCATTACTATAATTGAATTAAAATTGAGAGACCATTGCTCTAATTAGGTTAAAGTTGATAGATTATTTCTCTAGTTGGATTAAAGTTGAGGGACCATTGATACAATTTTTCTTATTTGATTTTCTATTTTTGCCCTTTAGTTCAGCCTTACATTAGCACATGACTCATTTTGATAAAAGTTTTAACGGAATTAATGAAGATGATCATAGTTGCACATTTTGATGAATTGAGAGATCATGATAACGAATTTTTAATTGAAACACCATTGTGTTAAGGTTGAGTCACCATTTACCTCTTCATATTTCATAAGGGATGTGCTATCTACGTATCATTTTTTTACTTCATACATATTCTCTTAATTTGTGACCGTCGGATCGACTAAATTAAAGAAGATAAAAGGATAAAAATTAACAAATGATGTGTGAGAAGTAAAAAGAGACGGATGAATACCACATCCGATTTCATAATTCAGGAAGACTCCTACGCTTTCCCAAAAATCGCATCTTTCATCTTCCTCTCGCGGATACAGCAATGGCGGACAAACCCAGCCGAGCTCTGGTTCTGTACGGAGATGGGTCGGCCCGGTTCGTCGACCCGTCACATACCCATCTCCACTCTCTAGCTTCCAAAGCTTCCTGTGGATTCTTGAGCCTCCCCATTGCCTCTCCCTCAGGTTTTCACTCTCCATCTCTTTCTGTGCAAATTCTTATCTTTGAATAATAGATACAGTAATTGTCATTATTAAGAAATAATCCCAATTGATTTCTTATTAAACACTAATTAAAAACGTAGTTAATCATGGATTTTAGCTTTGCTTTTGTGGGTTTAATCAAGTTTGTTAATTTTTCAAGTGCTGAAGTTTTCTAGGCAGTTAGAACTTAGAACCCTATATGTATTTACCCAATTGGTAAAATTTGATTGGCCATACGTTGCCGTGGAAGTTTGTTTTTACTGATTTTTTTGTTCAAGTTATTTTGGCATCCTTTTTTTACTGCTTTTTCAGCACTGTGATTTACTTGAGTTTAGATTGCAGAAAGCGAGGGTGAGAGAATAGTTAGAGAGTTTGCAGTGCTGTTGGATGCGTATGAAGAAGAAAGAGGGAAGAAATCCGTGATTCCCATATCAGAAAGGTACTACAATTTTCGGTTTTTGCAATGTTTCGAAAACCTTGGCGCAACGGAAAGGTTGCTCCCTTGTGACCGAAATATCATGGGATCAAGTCGTGGAAATAGCCTCTTTGCAAATCAAGAATAAGGCCACGTATGACAGATATTTCCCTTGATCCTCGCAAAGCAGGGAGCCTTGTTGGCTTGGGGTCGCCCTTTTGGGTTGTTGCGAAAAGTTATTAACTTTCGATAACCCAATGTCAAATAGTTAATAAGTTGTGTCTTTTATAATGCTTCAGGTTCATGGGGATGAAAGCTGCTATATTTACAAACAATTCAAGTTTGAAATCTTTTGGTACCAAACTTGGTCTCAGTGTGTTCCAAATTGACGGTTTTCTTAAAAACAGTCCAGCCGGTGCTGAACAGCCAGTTGATTTCGGGGCATCTGAATTACTTCAGCTGCTTGGATTTCAAGAAGGGAAGGCAGCAGAGTCGAGTCAGTATGATTTGGTTTTTGTTCATGTTGGGGCTGGTGAGGTGGAATATCTCAATGCTTTGGTTGGTGGTATATCACAAATAGACCAGCCTGGATCTGAGGTCAGTTCCCGCTTGCACTTGTCTGTTGTGTTGAGCTATGGGAAGGTCTCAGAAAACGAAGATACCAACTTGTCAGTCTCGATTAGAAGAGATGATGAAAACTCTAATCTTTCGAAGCTCGTTCCTCGTCAAAGTTACACCGTGAAAGGAGAGAATCCTCGGGAGGATGTTAGGTGAGTGAAGACTTAGTGGTTTCTTGCTCCATTCGATATACCTTATAACTCCAGCATTCTTTGTGTGAACAGGGACCATTGCCCGATGTTAATTGCTCAGCGGCAATATGCCGTGACCCGCAAGGACATGGCCGAGACATTCTCGTTTAAAGACTTCAAGGAGGTACAGTTTAGCTTATCAGATGTTGAGTCTACTACATGACAATGCTGGATTTCGTAAGGGATTTTTACTGATAACTAGCTTTCGATTGTCCGGTTATATTCCCACGTCGAGTTCAAAGATTTCGGATTTCACTTAACTAGAATGGCTTAGTGCATTTTTACAAATGAATTCTGAAACTTGTTCTTTTCCGGCAGCGTGGTGGAAATCTTGTAATACCGGCAGATAGGTTTCTGCACGAAGTGGCCTTTAAGCTCTGGAAGGCCCCCAAGTACGGAGCATGAGATGAAGAGCAGAGAAGGCATACCAGACGGTGCATGAGTTCCTTCACATAAGCACGGAAGATAAACCGGAGGGTCAGAGCTTGCCGTTGCTCGTCTCAAATGCTGCCCCGGTGTTTTTCAAAGCAACTCTTAACTGCGCCTTGCCTTACCGGACTCTACGTGTAATAAGACCAGTCTGTATGTGACCTAAAACTGGATGATGTTTCGATCGCCCCACAGCCAAAAGGGGCACGATGATGTATGTGACGTAAAATTAGAGAATTTTATTGCTTTGAAGCAGGGGTTACACAATTTGATGAAAGCCGAGTTTATAGTTGTTCATCTGGCAAATAGACCAGTTATGAACGTCCACTCAAGTTCAACTTCCATCACCTAAAGAACTGCAACAAATACATTGTTTTCCATAACCTGAAGTCCATAAAAAGAACCTAACACTCCCCAAACACGGGTTTCCCTGACTCGTTCGGAAATCACAACTCGAGCATGTCACACACTGCACAAAGTCGATAAGCTGTCTAAATCATTCATCTACAATCGTATAAATCGACCCAGTCGACGTCAGAAGCGTTATTCACAAAAAAACATTTAGCAAAATTGCATCAGGAACTAGAGACATGCAGAGGAAAATTACCCCAAAACATCCTGCTTACTCTCTTAAACTTTTCGACATTGTGACGGTAGGAACTAGCACTCCAGCAAGGTCTTGAAACAATAACTGCCCAGTATAAACCATACCAGAAGGAGGAGCGAGAAGGAGAAAAGCGCAACAACGAATAGCCATCCGACCATGGCAACACCCAGAGCGAGCACCAATACAAAAGGGAGGAATGACCTCAAGACGGATGTGGCACCAACCCAATGCCCCTTGAGCAGTACTAAGCCTGCCACGTTGATCATGTTCCAACTCATTGATCCGCCATAGCACAGCCGATTGAGACAGTTCGCTACAAATGAATGGCTGTTGCAAGTGAAGAGGTTGTAGGTTTTGTGTTCAAAGTACCGCGAACTTGACTGCAAGGCATCATCCCACGTTAATGCAGTCCCAAACTCTGAATGATTGTACCCATGCTTGCAAGTGTGGCTACCCAGATTTGCGGCAAAACAACACTGTAAGCAACAACCAAAAAGACGGTAAGAAAACAAGATTTGCCAACATCTCGTAACTGTTGGTTCATCTAGCTCGGAAAGGGCAAAAAAAATTGAAGTTTAGAGTGAAACAGATCATATAAAGCGTTCCTATAAATGCGTCTTGCGACCTCATAAGCATTGTTCTTCACGCATCGATTGACAGACAATGGGACAAAAGATGCACTAAAATACTTACTGCAAACAAGTTAAGACCAAACTAACGAATATACTTAAGAGTGCGACCGTGAGTTCACAGGAATTAAGGGAGCCAGGAGAACAACACGACACATTACCTGTTTTCGATCAATTTGGAGATATCTGGCAACGGCACCAAATGCAAAGTCATCAACATTCACAAAATTGGAACCAGAAAAATCTAAAATAGCTCCATCCTCCCTGCAAATGCCAACATGTCCGATGAATGGTGCCAACCAGGAGACTACCGGGAGAGGAGTCCAAACTATACAGCAGGGAAACTTTGCCTTCTTCGGATCAATTTCAGTGAGAGGCCACAGCTCATGCTCAATATTCTGCGTAGAGGTCAAATGCTCAATGTCATACGCTTCTTTCAGCTCCATCATAGGAAATCTAACGTGCCGCATAAACTTTGTTCAATCTTTTCTTTCAAAGCATCCCAAATGTCAAACTACACCTTCAGAATACTGATTCCATCTCCGAATACAATTAGCATATCAGTTCAATCTGCCAGTAAACGAAAACAAAGGCACCTTCAGGACAACATAAAGATTATCCAATCTAGGATGCACAAACTAAAAATTGGAAAGCACTAGGCACAAAAGATTAAAGATTATTTGGGATTATTAAGAACATTGTTAACTTCAATGGTTTGATCTTTTTTTTCTTTCATTTTTGACAATACGATATTCTATTCTAAACTACTCTAATTTACGACGAGAGGGGAATTCTAATTTGGATGCAAGGGGCGGGCGCCAACCGGCCTAACTCACACCTGCCAATAGTTTTGATCTTCTACTTCCTACAACATATATATTGCAGCCCAAAAAGCACCTAACTGCTTAAGTTTAGCTCAAAAAAATTGAAATATCAGCTTCCAAGAATGCAACTTTAAGCTGGGAATTTGCTAAACAGACAAATACCCAATTGGGGTTTCCATAAAATCTACTGAAACATTGAAAGAAAACAAGATCCAAACCACACAAAATGCATTTGGGTCGACAAAGGTTGGAGCTTTAAGCAAATATTTGTATGCCAACTGACCTGCAGAGGATTTCGATAGCTGGGCAGAAACTGAAGTCGGTGAGGGAACAAAGTAGAAGTTTTGAGAGGCAAGAACAACCTGAATAAATGGCTGAAATTTTTGATTTTTTAAATTAATTAATATTTGTTTTATGGACTTTTGATTTTCTTGTTTTGGGAAGGAAGGAAGGAGGATGATGAGGCAGAGGCAGGTGCATGAACCTCTCTGAGATTCATGCCCCCTGGGTGGGCTCCATCACCATCTCATTCATTTAATACTCTTCTTGCCTCTTTCCCATGTCTTTCTTTTTTTTAATATTTTACTACGATTTGATAGTATTATTTTTCACTTGAAAGTAAGAAGTTTTATATTTAAATTTCGTGGATGACGAATTCGATATCAAATTAGGCTGCTTATTGTGTGGCTTTGCCGAACATCCCCTCCTCTTAGTGTAAAAATATCGATGTACTATGAAAAAATCTTTTTCTGTCATTGTCGCCGCATCGCTTGATAGAAACGGTGCCGTTGTTTTTGATGTTCAAGTCTGTTAACTGTAACCTACTTCTTCATACTAAACCCTGCCAAAGCTAGTTATAAAGGATTTTATTTCATAGTAATATTACTTGTTGTGTTCAGTGTTTAAAATATAGATATAGATAAAAATATCAATATGTAAATTTATGAAAAACGTGATATATTGATATCGGATGTCTTCAGCGGGAAATTATGAAAATTTACAATGGGTAGTTATATCAACTCATTGGTATTTAGTTGAAATTTCTCCAGATTTTTTTTTTTAAAGTTTGGAATCTGCAATGAGTTCAGACAAATTATGTAGCGAATCAGGTAAATATCATTGATATTTATTGATTTTCCTGTATCTTACCAATATAAAGTGGAGTTTGCATTTCGCACCCTATTTTTTTATCGATTCTTAATTTTTCAGATATTTCAACCAAAATATCAGTAAGTTTGTGGATATTTTGAACACTGGTTACACTACACCCCTTTTATGTATGGGCCCTAGGGTTATGTTAATTATTCGTTTTTCAGTAAATAAGAAATTGTCGCGTCAATTTGGATCCAAAAGTTGATATCTTTAGTATTATTTTTTATTTTGTAAGTGGACAAATTGGCGATCACAAGAGGCAATTAAGGGTTAACATGTATGAGTTAGATTATCTAAACAACATGTTAATGAAAACCTTCTTTACGAATCAAAAGAAGATGAAAAGACATTTTTGTCTTTTATAACAACAACAAAGTTAAAGACAATAACTTAATTTTACAAAATAAAATTTTGCTATTATTTGTTTAAACCTCACCTACATGTGATTTTATCATCTTTAATTTTGAAAAAAAATAAAACAAAAACAAACCTCTCTCCCTATGGTCTAAAATATCCATAATATCCCAATATTTCCATCGAAATTTCCGTGTTTTTGGTCTACCGATATTTCCGATATCATCAATATTTTAGACCTTGCTAAGTCACTCATGTATCTTACCATGCAATGTATAAAGTGTAAAATATTGTACTAATTCATTATATATAAATGATTGTGGTGTGTTTAAACTTCTTTCATTAATTACTACATATTTTCTACACTCACAATATTTGCCAGCTTGCTATATAATCAACTTAAATCAGTTATATCTATCATGCAATGCATTTCCTTCCAATTTTTGTGATAAACTAATAGATAGTTGACTAAATAAATATCCTGCAAAGTTTCAATAAAAATTTCCAAGTTTTTCTTATAATTTCTGTGGTTTTTATTCAATTTTTATTGATATCAATAATATCCTGATATTTCCATCGAAATTTCCGTGTTTTTGAACTATCGATATTTCCGATATCATCGATATTTTATACCCCTCCCTCCCCACTCTCTACCACTCTTATTCAATTTAAAAAAACAAAAATAAAAAATTTCACACATACTTTGTATGTAGGCAGATACTAATAAATAATAATCGAAACCCTTCGTTTTGTTGTACTTTATCTTGAGGTCTCCCTCATCCATCTCTCCTCAGGACCAGCCCTGTTATCGACTCCTTCCGAACCCTAACTTTATTTGAAGAGTGTGATGGTCATATAGTCGATGTTGTATAACTTTTGGAAGACAATGTATGGCACTTCATTATTGCATGATGCAACAACTCGAGCACCACCACCATCATCGGCCGTACAATTTTGACTATTGTGTTTTGAGAGCATTGAAGCAGGCTGGCTGGGAGGGCAATGCTCTGGGATTGGTGATTTGTAACCATCGACATTGAGGTTGGCACCGACACTAGAAACTAGAAACTAGAGGAAGAGAAGAGAGAGACTCAGTTTCGTACCCAAACTTTGATTTGTCTGATACTTTGATTCTTTCATTAGACTTTTCGTCATGTTTTTCGTTAAGTTATGACATGACATAGTTTTGGCTCTTCATATTTGTTAAAAATTAGCACTCGACACGGTGTCTTAGATTTACAAGAGTCTCTAATCCACATCTTTTAGAAATTCTTGAGTGCGAACGACTAGACAGCGTAACGGTCTGACCACGCAAATACCATATTATGGGCCATATACAAGTGTCCAGAGTCCAGAGTGATAAAGTCCTCCATGTAGACACCTTTGAGTGCCCATGGGGTTCAGCAAGACGGTCATGGACTCATCGAACTGCTCTCGTTGAAAATATTTCGTTACTTACAAGTACGAAGTCTTTCGTTTTAGCAGACAAATCAGAATTTGAAATGTACATAAAAACTTCTCTTTGTGATTTTAACGAGACATTTTGATGTGTCAAAGATTTACAATTTATATCATTACTATATACAGCACTGGGATTAATTCTACATCCTTGCATAGACAGTGTATATATATACACACACACACACATACATAGACATGTTGCGTATTTCGCAATGCAGTTTTTCA